CCCAAACCCCTCAACCCTAAGCCCCAGACCCCAAACCCCTAAAACCTAGACCCCAAACCCTAAACCCTAAACCCCTAAACCCCTAAACCCCTAAAACCTAGACCCCAAACCCTAAACCCTAAACCCCTAAACCCTAAACCTGACTCCAAAATAACCCCTAAAACCACTAAACCCTAGACCCCAAAACCTAAGCCCGAAGACCCCGATGCACGAATTCAGCTTGGCAACTCGTGCTCGGCGTGCCCTTGGCGGGGACAGCCATGGCGACCTGCTTTCGGGCTTCAGGGCTTGATTTAAGGGTAGGGTTTAGGGTTTAGGGTTTAGGGTTTAGGGTTTAGGGTTTAGGGTTTAGGGTTTAGGTTTCGGGTCCTCGCTTAAGGGTTCTAGGAGGTTACTTTAAGAATGCTTTAATTGGCTACACATGTTCTTAAAAGCTTACTGTCTGGGCTACTAACACGGGTTGTTTAAGGTCTGTAAAGAGAAAGATCGTGGAAGCTGCCAGGCGCCTAGTACTCCATTTTGGAACCGGGCCATCTGGGTAGTTCTCGAAATGAGGGTCCGGCACCCTTGTGAAAGGGACCCGCAAAGGGACCCCATATCTTAGAAAACTACCCTAAATTAGGGTTTAGGGTTTAGGGTTTAGGGTTTAGGATTTAGGGTTTAGGGTTTAGGGTTTAGGGCTTAGGGTTTAGGGAATATGTACATCGGAACTGTGTCTTGGGCACCTGGCTGAGGACTACTCCGTTACAAACTGGGCCATATGGGTAGTTCTCTAAATTAGGGTCCCTTTTTCGGCCCCCCCAAAGGTACCCCCAAAGGGACCCTAGTTGAGAGAACTACCCATATCGGGGCTCATGCCAGCTCCATCGAGGGATATATCGGGGGCATTTCGCAGGGCAGCGACAGGGTTTAGGACAAACGAAGGTACACCACAACCCCGATTGGGCGACGTAGGCACCGGGACACCCTGACGAGATCGTCATGTAATGAGTACGTACCAGCTTAGAGGACCATCAAACTCTCAAACCATACCCAACAGAAACCATTGGTGCTGCCAGCAACTCTGAAACTTAATCTTAAGCCTTAAACCCTGGACCCTAAGCTCAAAACCCTGAGCCACAGAGCCTTGTAGGCGATAAGCTCCCAGAAATGCAAATTCCGGTTGCCCTCGAGCTGGACATAGACCTCGGCATACAAAACCCTAAACCCTAAACCCTAAACCCTAAAAGACCTCGATCCAAAGCCCTCAAAGCCTCTTCCAAAATCCCGGCCCCAGGACCCCAGAGCGTTAAACCTAAACCCAAACTTAAAGGGTCCTAGGTACTGTTATGGGGGAGACTTTACCAAATCTTAATGAGGATTCCTAATATGGAAAACCCTAAATTCTACTATATAGGCATTTTGGTCCCTTGGAGAAATCCAAACTCCGTAAAGCAGGCCCGAAAGCTCCGAAAGGACCTTGCCGCCCCTTATCCACTGAGGTCTCGGGTGTCGGGTGCCCAAAACCTCTAGAACATCCTTGCTTCTTATTCAATAAAATCAATAAAGAATGTTTAAGACTTGGGATCGAGGGCTATATGTAGGAAGGAACTCTAGTCACTTCTGATTCGAACTACATCGCCGAATTGAGGGTGTGAATTGCTTGGTGTCAGGAGGCATTGGTTAAGGATCTGGTCTTCAATGGGGTCGTGCTAGTAAAAGATTGCCAAGAAGTCAGAAGGTCGGGCCCAAACCCTGAACCCTCAACCACGCTAAGGCTTGGGGTTCAGGGAGGGATTGGCGGAGGGCTTCAGTGAACCCTACCTCCAAAACCTCTGAGCCAAACATTGTTAACCCCGAACCCGCAATCCTCAGATCGAAACGGCCCGACTCTAAACCCCAGGCCCTAAACCCGTAAACCCTAAACGATAAAGCCTAAATCCCTGTTGGGATGATGGGATAGGGTTGTAGGGCTTAGCGCAAGTAGGGTTGATCCTCTCCGGAAACCCACGGGCCCAAACAGCACATCGGGGCGGGGGGAACTACCAGCAGGGTTTAAGGCTTAGGACGGATTTCGGGTTCGGGGTTCAGGGCTTGGCAGGATGCTGATTTCGTTGCGGAAGATGTTACAGCAAGCCCCAAGGCGAGCGCAGGTTGATACCTAGAGTAGCCTAGAATCCTAAACCCTCCACCCCAAACGAGAAACCCTAAACCCAAAACCCAAACCGTTCCTGCTTCCTCTCTCTCTCTCTCTCTCGTTTTCGGGCTGAGGGTGAGGATCAGGAGTTTACCGGGTTTAGGGTTCCGAGCCTGACCGCCAATTTGCCAATCAAACCCGGAACCTCGACCAGAAACCAAACCCTAAACCCTAAACCCTAAACCCGAAACAGAATCCTTAGACCCGGACATATTGGCCCTCCGGGTAGTCCGGAGCAATGCCGCAGGAGATCTGCCCGGCAGCGGAGGTGGCACTGAAGCTTAGTAACCCCAATCTTCAAGCCCCGAGTCCTCCCCAAGCCGGAAACCCTAAACCCTAAACCCTAAACCCTAAACCCTAAACCCTAAACCCTAAATCCTAATGCACTCAGCCCTTTATCAAGCATGGTAGAGTCTCGAGGGCTTGATTCCGTGCTTTCGGGAAGGGCTTGAGCTAGAACTCGAAGATTCGTGATCTTACATGGGGTTTCAAGCCGCAGCCCCAACCTCCCAGAAATGGCAATCCGCGTTTTGCTTGTTATTGTTATTGTGTTATTTGAAATGCAAACTTGACAGTTTAAGAGTTTGAGGTTCATTAATCGGAGCAGTAACATCAGCAGAGATATAGGTCTGGAAAACATCTATCTATCGATATGTCTGTCTATGTATCTATCTATCTAT